AGTTAGTCAACGAAACAGTTAGTCAGGGAAAGAGTTAGTCAAAGAAAGAGTTAGTGAGGGAAAGAGTTAGTCAAAGAAAGAGTTAGTGAGGGAAAGAGTCAGTCAAAGAAAGAGTTAGTGAGGGAAAGAGTTAGTCAAAGAAAGGGTTAGTCAGGATATATGAGGTAGTCAAAGAAGGAGTTAGCAAAGAAACAAGTTAGTCAAAGAAAGAGTTAGTGAGGAAAAGAGTTAGTCACAGAAAGAGTTAGCAAAGAAATTGTTCCCTCACTGTAAATGGGATTGCAAGTGGTGCTGGTGGAGGAGTTGCCGATGGAGTTTTGGAGGAAGTCTCGCACGAAATGCGTTTTTGAGAGATAGCAGATGCACGAAACCCTATGTTTTCCCATACAAAGTCCGTCCCCGAACCTCGATGATCTACCTCTGCGGTGCGACGGGTGCGAGACGGTCTCGTGTGTGGTCGGATCATGCTCGGATATGTTCGGATCATCCTCGGATCATTCTCGGATCGGTTCCGCATTGTAAATGGGGTGTCAACTGTTTTTCGTGCATGTGTGGTCGACAGAATTCCATTGTGATTTGCAACTGTAGGATCGTTCCCGCATTGTAAATGGGGTTGCAAGTGTTGCTGGTGGACGAGTTGCCGATGGAATTGCATTGTGATTTGCAACTTTAGGATCGTTCCCTCACTGTAAATGGGATTGCAAGTGGTGCTGGTGGAGGAGTGGCCGATGGAGTTTTGGAGGAAGTCTCGCACGAAATGCGTTTTTGAGAGATAGCAGATGCACGAAACCCTATGTTTTTCCATACAAAGTCCGTCCCCGAACGTCGATGATCTACCTTTGCGGTGCGACGGGTGCGAGACGGTCTCGTGTGTGGTCGGATCATGCTCGGATATGTTCGGATCATCCTCGGATCATTCTCGGATCGGTTCCGCATTGTAAATGGGGTGTCAACTGTTTTTCGTGCATATGTGGTCGACAGAATTCCATTGTGATTTGCAACTGTAGGATCGTTCCCGCATTGTAAATGGGGTTGCAAGTGTTGCTGGTGGACGAGTTGCTGATGGAATTGCATTGTGATTTGCAACTCTAGGATCGTTCCCTCAATGTAAATGGGATTGCAAGTGTTGCTGGCGGATGAGTTGCCAATGGAATTCCATTGTGGTTTGCAACTGTAGGATCGTTCCCGCAATGTAAATGGCTGTGTCAAGGTTGCTTCGTGCTGTGGCTGCATTGGTAATACTATTGTCTTTTGCAGCTGGACTTTTTAAATCGTATTGGAGTGGCTGCATGAAGGCTGCGACACTGATTTGTCAGTAGATTTTCTCCATTTTGGCGCTAGTGATTTTCCTTCTAAAAATCCTTTTAAAAAGTGCTTCAAAATCGTCTTTTTTTTCGCTGTGGCGTCGAGATCCGATTTTGGAGCTACAATTTCCGACGCCGTTGCGCGTAGTTCTATTGTGTTTTGCAACTCAGTCTCTGCAGATCGCATTGTATTGGCTGCGTCAAGGTTGCTTCGTGCTGTGGCTGCATTCGTAATACTATTGTCTTTTGCAGCTAGACTTCGTAAATCGTATTGGAGTGGCTGCATGAAGGCTGCGACACTGATTTGTCAGTAGATTTTCTCCATTTTGGCGCTAGTGATTTTCTTTTTAAAAATCCCTTTAAAAAGTGTTTCAAAATCGTTTTTTTTCGCTCTGGCGTCGAGATCCGGTTTTGGAGCTACAATTTCCGACGCCGTTGTGCGTAGTTCTATTGTGTTTTGCAACTCAGTCTCTGCAGATCGCATTGTAATGGCTGCGTCAAGGTTGCTTCGTGCTGTGGCTGCATCCGTAATACTATTGTCTTTTGCAGCTGGATCTCGTAAATCGTATTGGAGTGGCTGCATGAAGGCTGCGACAGTGATTTGTCAGCAGATTTTCTCCATTTTGGCGCTAGTGATTTTCCTTCTAAAATCCTTTTAAAAAGTGCTTCAAAATCGTCTTTTTTTCGCTCTGGCGTCGAGATCCGGTTTTGGAGCTACAATTTCCGACGCCGTTGCGCGTAGTTCTAGTGTGTTTTGCAACTCAGTCTCTGCAGATCGCATTGTAATGGCTGCGTCAAGGTTGCTTCGTGCTGTGGCTGCATTTGTCATACTATTGTCTTTTGCAGCTCGACTTCGTAAATCGTATTGGAGTGGCTGCATGAAGGCTGCGACAGTGATTTGTCAGCAGATTTTCTCCATTTTGGCGCTAGCGATTTTCCTTCTAAAAATCCTTTTAAAAAGTGCTTCAAAATCGTCTTTTTTTCGCTCTGGCGTCGAGATCCGATTTTGGAGCTACAATTTCCGACGCCGTTGCGCGTAGTTCTATTGTGTTTTGGAACTCAATCTCTGCAGATCGCATTGTAATGGCTGCGTCAAGGTTGCTGCGTGCTGTGGCTGCATTCGTAATACTATTGTCTTTTGCAGCTGGATCTCGTAAATCGTATTGGAGTGGCTGCATGAAGGCTGCGACATGGATTTGTTAGCAGATTTTCTCCATTTTGGCACTAGTGTTTTTTTGTTGCACGTAGGTTTAGAGCAGTGTGAAGTGTGGGGCGTGAAGAGTGCAGTGTGAAGTGTGCAGTGTGAAGGAAGCAGTGGGAAGTGTGAAGTGTGGAGTGTGAAGTTTAAGTTTGGAGTGCGAAGAGCGCAGTGTGAAGTGTGAAGTGTGAGGTTGGGAGTGTGAAGGAAGCAGTGAGAAGTGTGAAGTGTGGACTGTGAAGTGTGAAGTGTGAGTGAAGTGTGGAGTGTGAAGTGCGAAGTGAGAATTGTGAAGTTTGGAGTGTGAAGTTTGGAGTGGGAAGGAAGCAGTGAGAAGTGAGAAGTGTGAAGTGTGGACTGTGAAGTGTGGAGTGTGAAGTGCGAAGTGAGAAGTGTGAAGTTTGGAGTGTGCAGGAAGCAGTGAGAAGTGAGAAGTGAGAAGTGTGAAGTGTGGACTGTGAAGTGTGGAGTGCGAAGAGCGCAGCGTGAAGTGTGAAGTGTGAAGTGTGAGGTTTGGAGTGTGAAGGAAGCAGTGAGAAGTGTGAAGTGTGGACTGTGAAGGGTGAAGTGTGAGTGAAGTGTGGAGTGTGAAGTGCGAAGTGAGAAGTGTGAAGTGTGAAGTTTGGAGTGTGAAGTTTGGAGTGGGAAGGAAGCAGTGAGATGTGTGAAGTGTGGACTGTGAAGTGTGGAGTGTGAAGTGCGAAGTGAGAAGTGTGAAGTTTGGAGTGTGAAGGAAGCAGTGAGAAGTGTGAAGTGAGAAGTGTGAAGTGTGGACTGTGAAGTGTGGAGTGTGAAGTGCGAAGTGAGAAGTGTGAAGCGTGAAGTGTGAAGTTTGGAGTGTGAAGGAAGCAGTGAGAAGTGAGAAGTGTGAAATGTGGAGTGTGAAGTGTGAAGTCTGAAGTGCGAAGTGAGAAGTGTGGACTGTGAAGTCTGAAGTGTGAAGTGTGGACTGTGAAGTGTGAAGTGTGAAGTGTGGACTGTGAAGTGTGCAGTGTGAAGTGTGGAGTGTGAAGTGTGAAGTTTGGAGTGCGAAGAGTGCAGTGTGCAGTGTGCAGTGTGAGGTGTGAGGTGTGGAGTGTCGAGGGAAGGACACGGTCGGGACAGGTTGTCTTTGAACTATAGGTCATTTATGTTTGGGAAACTTCCGCCGCCGGCTTGCCCGGGTCTATGTTATGAGTTGAAACAAGAGGAAGAGGTTTATGCAATGTCAAAGTTGGCGTTACCTGGACCCTCCAAAATCAAAAAAAAAATGCAAAAGTACCAAGGTTTTTGGGGTAAAACATAGTAAAACACCATTTTTTGCGGTACTTCTAGGGGGTCCTCATAAACCTCACCCCTTTCGATCTTGCCGCCTGACCAAGCAGCAAGGCCGCGGAAGAGACCAGTCTGACCTGGCGATGTTGCGACGTTTGCATCCAAAAATGGTGACTTTAGCTACTCTTAGCATCAAACATGGAGACTCGAACTATCAAAATATGGTGATTGAACCATACAAAATGGTGATGTTTGTGAAGAAACATGAGGATTTAACGAAAGGTCATGTCCCAGTTGTTCCTTATTTTCAATAAAGAAATCAAAGGTGACAAAGGATAGCCCAATTCAGGGTCAGAGATATCAAATATATGATATTCATGGTCATACGGGGGTTCTCTGAAAATAGGGAAGCCCTCTTTTTTCCACTGGTGAATCATGATGTTCCCTCTTAAACGGCCATAGTTGGAGCGGGTTAAACCCCATTTTCAAACGATATGCCATATGAATATAATTAGATTAGATATATGTGAACCAAGCATATTGGAAATGTGATGGATCTATCATGCGGTTGGCTCAGAGCTCCTAACCGCCTCTTCCTTACCAAAGGATAGCTACTTCGAGACTTCCAGAAACATCATTTAAGTACAAGAATGCTTGTTTAAAAAATAAGAATAATACCGAACAATTAAAGCAACTAGTAAATAGGTGAGTGGAAATCTTGGCTTCACAATAGGGGAACAATACATGTTCCATCATATTCCATCAGTTGCAACCGGCATCTCTTGGAAATGTTGACACAAACCCCTGCCAAAAATCATAGATATGTAAATGGTAGTCCAACACAAGATAGAAAAGCAAAAAAACCGAGCCGAAATAGTGGTAAGCCTGCTAAGCTCCTTTTCTATCTCTTTGGGGATTATTAGATATATATGATTATAGATCTGTCTGATTTTGCAGACGCACTTGAATGCAAATTCGTTGACGATCGTCCATATGGGGCTATGTGTCACACATGTTCACCCAAGCCGTCTTGATTGGTGGAAGTCGCATTTTTTCTTGGTTACCCTCTGGTAATGACTAACATAACTATGGAAAATCGCCATGTATAGTGACTTTTCCCATGAAAAAGGGTGATTTCCATCGTTTTTTGTATGTTTACCAGGCCGGGTAACCCCCAATGAAAGGGGGCCCGGAGTAACCACCTGAAAACACTGGTAGCTATCCTAATCCATTCACCATTCATAGTCCATGAAAAATCCCCATGGTTTTTGCCACACCCTTGGTGGTGAAATCCCAACTGCTCAGCTCAACGAGCCGCACCTTTGGCACCCGACTGGTCCACGTACTTCGGGAACCAGCGCTTGTGCCCGTAGCGCTTCAACCAGTACTCGTTCTCCTCGAAGGGACCCATAGGCCGCCCTTTTTGGCCCATAAACAACGCAATGTTTTATCTGGGGATACTCTATGTAGAGTCCTGGGTCTGATTCGTAGTCCAAGTTACTTGGTGTTTCTTTTGATCTACGAATTGTGGTTTACATGTGTGTGTATATATATATACATACATGTATATATATATATATATATATTATATGTATTTATGTATGTAATTGGTGAAAAATTCGGGTATAACTCAGTATAACTTGGGAGATAGGCTACCTACTAAGTAGTAGTATGAACCACCAGGAATTCAGAGATTCAGGGGTTGGAAATCCCTGGAAATTGTGATCGAAATAACATCCAAACATCATGGGAAAACCATGGAAAACCACCGCCTTCCCTTACCCCTAAAACTGGATGGTTAATAAATAGAACTAACCATAATTAAGGCCCATATTTATCTGATTATATAAATATATTACCCATATATTCTTACCCCTAAAAATAAATCGAATCTGCGGTTTGGGCCTTAAATATTGACCAATGACAAAGAACTGCAATAAAAACTTGCGTGAGTTGTACGGAAGCCAGTAAAATACCATGACTACTCCCCATATTTTCCCATGATTCAAATGATGTCCATTAATGTCCATTATATCACCAGATTGGTTGGTTATGACCTTACCCTCTGGTAATTTAACATAGCTATTGAAAATGGCCAGTTATAGTGGAATTTCCCATTAAATATGGTGATTTTCCATAGTTATGTTAGTTTACCAGAGGGTATCTTTTTTTTCCCCCACAAAAACATCATCAACTCGGCATCGCGGGTCCCGCAGATTTCCCGGGCCCCCTGACGGCAATCTTCTTGGGATCGTCGATGCCGGCCTGAGCGATCTCCTTCTTTAGTCTACGCCTGGGAGAAGGGGGACAAAAAAAAGATGGGATTCCCGAAAAAACCAACCAATCTCGTAACAAAGCAATCTAGTCATATGGGATAGTCCTTGGTAACCAACCATATTGGTTAGATCTCCTTCCCTTACCAAAAAACCAACCAACCAACCAATCCCAGTAACCAACCAACCACTTGGATTTTGCTCGAGATTCGTGGATTTCCCGGCGAAAAAAATCACTCAGCAAATCCAAGAATCCAAGACCGTAATGCATAGATACCAATATTTTTGGGTGATATATTCGTGGGAGATGTGTGTTGGGATGTGTATATATATATATATTGGGAATTGGGGGGTATCAGATTCATCTCAAAGATGAGATTCCCTTCAAAAGAATAGGAGTATGGGGACAATGTCTTTGAGTCGCAGCAGTTTTCAACCACTGGTGGAGTTGCTCTACTAGTGGGTTGCTCCGAATTTCGAGGTGAAAACCCCATGACACCACGGTCCAATCAAGGTTGGTGACAAAAAAGACCCAATGCCTTGACCCATGGCCATGGAAAAGGAATTCCCACTTGGCAAATGCAGCATGCAGATGTAAGAGACCAACTGGATCTGCCATGGTTAACCTGAAGCAAAGACCATCTTTTTTTCGGACATGGTCGGACTTTTCGATTTCTGGCCAGGTCCAAATCAGCTGCTAACACAAGTGCTATTTTCGCTCAATGCAACTAGACTAGATGTACATCAACTGATCTTGGACTGTGGAGTTGTCACCACCACGGTTTGGATCGCCCCATGTCACCACACGACCATCTGCTAAAATTGCAGCGAAAGCACCGAATGTGCCACAGATCTGCTGGACATTTCTGAGCTCATCTTGGACTCTGGAGCTGCAACCACCAAGCAGCTGATTGCCCCAGGTCACCACTGTGCCGTCTGCCAAAATGGCAGCGAAAGCATATGATGTGCCACTGATCTGCTGAACATTCCTCAGCTGATCTTGGACTCTGGAGCTGTCACCACCACTGTCTAGATTGCCCCAGGTCACGACAGTTCCATCTTCCAAGATCGCCGCAAAAGCATAGGATGTGGAACAAATCAGCTGCACATTCCGAAGCCGATCTTGGACTCTGGAGCTGTCACCACCATAGTTCGGGTCGCCCCATGTCTCCACAGTTCCATCCGCCAGAATCGCAGCAAAAGCACCATATGTACCACAGATCTGCTGAACATTCTTGAGATGAGCTCCGCTTCGGAAGCCACGGCGATCTCCCCATGTCGCCACGATCCCATTTGCCGATATAGCAAAAGCACCAGATGTAGCACAAATCTGCTGAACAGCATTGAGCTGATCTTGATCTTGGACTCTGGAGCTCGCACCGCCATAGTCTGGATCACCCCATGTCACTACACTTCCATCCGTCAAAATCGCAGCAAAAGCACGGTCAGTGCCACGAATCCTCTGAACGTTCCTGAGCCGGCGTTGGACTCCGGAGCTGTCACCACCACATTCTCGATCGCCCCAGGTCACTACGGCTCCGTCTGCCAAAATTGCAGCAAAAGCATAGGCTGTGCTACAAATCTGCTGAACATTCCTCAGCTGATCTTGGACTCTGAGGCTGTCACCACCACGGTCTGGATTGCCCCAGGTCACCACACTTCCATCTTCCAGAATAGCAGCAAAAGCTTCTCCTGCGCCACAGATCTGCTGCACATTCCTGAGCTGACGGTGAACTCTCAAGCTGTCACCACCAAAGTGTGGATGGCCCCATGTGACAATTCTATCACCTCCAACACACCACACAGCAAACGCACTCCACGTTGCAGCTATCTTTGGCTGAAGTGCAACAACAGCAAGGCTGTCTCCATCTTTAAGCCCAGAAAGTCGAAGAGCCTCTATTGGATCTAAAGGGCGCCCATCAGGCGCACAAAGCCGCAAGAAGCCTTTCCTCAAAGACCGTTGTGCAGCGATTTTCACTTCAACAACGGTTCCAGACCTGGAGACCTCGACAGTTTCACTGCGTCCACTGGGCAAGACAACTGTAGTTTTCAGGGAGCGATCCTCATCGGGAGCTTTAGTTGACTGTTCTTCAGGTGACGATTTCTTTGCCATTGCTGGAATATCTTTGCCAGCTTTCCAGTATTTTGAGCTGAAATAAAAATGAAACCACAGAAAAGTCACAGCGAAATGCGAAAGGAATCTTGAAGTAAGAGCGTATCACCTTGACGATTGGCCGCTCACAATGTTACAGCAAGCAGCTTTACAATACCACCCTCGGAGTACCAAAACTTCTGGGCTGTTCAATTTTGGGGCGTGTCATTTCAGTAGCAAATTATCACTGATTGGGGGTAACCCCCCCTATCATCAACCATGGTTTATCGATCCGTCTGAAAATAAGGCGCCCAAAAATGTTCTGGTTGATCATAATAGTCCCTCTTAAAATGCCACAACTCAAGGGGTCAATCCCGCATATTCAAACCAATCAAATCCCTACACGGTGATTGAATCTCCCATTTTCTAAACATCCACCGTAAAAACTGACCCATGCGAGCAGTGATTGATTCGCCTCTGGATTCCCGGAATCGATCATAATCCCCGGTAGATTGGGTTAACCTCCTATCCCACAATCAACCAACAGGGCGATCGATCGCAGAACCGCCATGTTTGAAGCACCAAGGCTTCCAAGGTTAAGGCCCACGCAGGTTGTCGTTGTTGCCGCTGCCGCCCAGCATCTGCCCGCAGTGATTGTGTTATGACTCTACAACTGGCAGGGTCCGTCACTGTCCAAAAAAAAACACTGTTCCCGATCTTTTCCAAACAGGATGATTGCAGTACTGTGTGTATATTTATATATACATACTTTTAGTATATTATATTATATTAAATTATATTATATTAAATTATATTATATTATACTTTTAGTATATTATACTTTTAGTATATTATACTTTTAGTATATTATATTATATTATATTGTATTATATTATATTATATTATATTATATTATATCACATTGTATTGTATTATATTATATTATATCACATTATATTGTATTATATTATATTGTATTATATTATATTATATTGTATTGTATTGTATTATATATATATACATATATATGGTACCCGCCCCCCCAAGCTCCACCTTTCATGTCATTTTCATGGTATCTAGAGTGTTTTATGTTTATTTTTGGGTATTTATATAACTGTATGCATGGGTGAAACTTGTGACGCCCCCAAACAAGCATCATCTTCGTTGCAGGCATCATCCCGTGGTTTACACTCAAAATTTGCAGGTCCAACCCCATGTTTGTTGCGTGCTGATCCAACCCCATAAACACCAGTGCGTGCTTCTTAAACTGGGGTTACCGTACCCCTTCAAATCATTGGTTTCCCCATTGAGACCGTCCAATAAACCAAATAACTTTGGAAAATCACCCTTTTTGATAGGTAAATCATCTATCAAGAGGGTAACAACTGGAGGTGTCCAAAAATGTTCGTAGCCCTAAATCATATATATATATGCGCATATACATATATATATATATGTGGTTTCATTGGATTTTTCACTATAAACCATGTTCAATAGCAGACATGTTTTTTTAGAGGGTAACAACTGGAGGTGTCCAAAAACGATCGTAGCCCTAAATCATGTGTATATATATATATACATATACATATATGTATATATGTCTTTTCATAGGAAATTTCACTATAAACCATGTTCAATAGCTGACATGTTTTTTCCAGACGGTAACAACTGGAAGTGTCCAAAAATGATCGTAGCCCTAAATCATATTTACTATATATATATACAGTATATATATATATACGTATATATGTATATATACACATGTTCAATAGCTGGCACGTGTTTCCAGAGGGTAACAACTGGAGGTGTCCAAAAAATGATCGTACCGCTCAATCATGTGTATATATATATATATCATTTATTTATACATATATATATATATTATAGATATATATTCATATATATATATATACATATATACATGTGTTCATATTTTTCCATTGGATTTTTAACTATAAACCATCCAGCTATTGGGGTACCCATGATCCACAGAGCCTCACCCAACTTGATCTTGAAAGGCCCCAGCTGGAAACTGGGCGGAAAATCCCAAAAAATGGCTGACTTTAGGGGTACCCTCTGGTAAACATACAAAAAACAATGGAAAATCACCATTTTTAATGGGAAAACTCACGAACTGAATGGCAATTTTCAATAGCTATGTTAAATTACCAGAGGGTACCCCTAGGAAAAAATTACCCAAGATGCTAGTGGGAATGAACTTAACAAAACACAGAAAAATGGTTGATGGCCTGTAATCAGACATAACCATCTGATTTTTAATGGAGTGGTTCAACTGGGGGAAAAATGTGATTGCAACCAGATGTTTCTTCCCAAATTATGGGGGGGGAGGGGGGTCCTGATTTTTTCCCGTAAATCAATTTTGGGAAGTATTGAAAGATAACAGTAGATCAGTGTCTTTTGATGTTTTGGGTGTGAAACCTTCTGACTCAATGCTTTTGCAAGCAACTGCCATAGTGCAGTAATGTCCTAGGAAAAATTGAATTGGGGCCATGATTGGTATACTATCAATTCTGGTTGGTGGTATACCTGCCCATCTGAAAAATATGATATAGTCAGTTGGGATTATGAAATTCCTAACTGAATGGAAAGTCACAAAATTCCAATGTTCCAAACCACCAACCAGTATTATAATCTACCTATTGATCAGTTTCGTGGAGGGGACCTCTTTATCCACCAACCAGGAATGGAGGGGACATCGCCGTTGCGTCGTGGAAATCCCGTAATTTGAACCCGGCAGGAGTAGCTGTTGCCTGTGAAACTCTTCATCTCATTTCATCCCCATGTCTTTTGTTGTAGGCTATATATGGCAATATAAATTACAATAATTCACCAACCTGAATTAAGGCCATTTGGGGATGATTCCCCTTACTAATTACTAACCATGATTTCCAGGGTTCGGTCGCAGTGAGGTCGTTGTAATTTACCCAGATATGGCTATATTATTGGTCTTACTCTCCGGCAATCAAACGTGGCTTGCTGAAAAATCACCCATTGATCTTGAATTGTCCCCTTTTTTACAACTTAAAACCTTGATTCATAGTGGAATTTCCATTTAAAACCCATTAAACCAGCATTTTTTCACAGCTGGAAACCATCAAAAACCACCATTTCATAGGGATTTCCCCTTCGCCATGTCGACCACGAGCATCCCGGCATGGGAGGAGTGTCAATGCCCTTCTTGACTTCCTGGCGCGCGAGGGACCACTGTTGTCCGATCGAAAAGTTTTCCCATCGAAAATCCCTAAAGTGATCTATTAAATGGATATTAACGGATATATTAATGGATCTATCAATTGATTGATATATATAGATCTATTAACCACTATTAATCAATATCTGCGTGGTGGTTTCAACCATCTTGAAAAATATGAAAGTCAGTTGGGATGATTATTCCCATATATTATGGAAAATAAAAAATGTTCTAAACCACCAACCAGAATATAAATCACGGTTCGAAAAATCTTCACTTAAGGGGATGATCGACCAGCTTGAATAAAGCTCTTGGTGCTTGTCATTTTGGCGAAATATTGCTTGGCTATGAGATAAATGCCCTGATGGATCCACTCAATGTGGCACTCCGTCTTCTTCCAAACCAGGCTTTCAAAGCTCTCCGGTCTGGAAAAACATGCCACCAACCCCGGGTCTCCCCTGATTTTCAACCAAACCTGTGTAGGATTTCCCGCCCAAAGATAGAAAAAGACCGCGATCCCGATGGGAAGCGTTTCCACTTGATGTCTTACCCGAAAATACGTCCGAGATGTCCCCGCTGGTGTCTTCATTCCATTTCTAGAAATGGGGCAGTTCCATCAATGGGGGGATACACAAAATGCATCAAAATGCATGGTTTATAATGGAATATCCTATTAGAATTGATGATTTAGGGGTACCCCCATGACTTTGGAAACCTCTGACTGTCCAAGCTATGTATCCCATTTGATGTGCCCTCCCAGACATTGTTCATCCCCGAAAAGATCCAGAAACATCATCCGGCTTTCTCTCAAAAACTAGGCAAATCCATCAAAATCCCCAAGTTTTGATGGTCAATCTGGAAAAAAAACTCATGTTTCCCACGAATCACTTGGGTTGGCTCAATGGAACCCCCAAAAAGTCAAAACTCTTCGTAACTATTCCCTGTTCATCGACTCCTCAAGTATTGGATTGCCGGGAAAAGAAGCCTGATTTCATCAACTTGCGCCGCAAATCGATGACCCGGTACGAGTGGGATATGGGGAAATCCGCTATATTTCATGGTATCTATTCCAAAAAACCCTCGTGGTTCCCACGAAAGCCTCAGGGCTGGCTCGCATGCGGTAGCGGTAGCCTGGGAGTGTCGGCAAAAAAAGTGGAGCCATGGCAAGGGGATACCATGGGAAGTGAGTGAAATCCTACTAAAACAGTGATGAATTACTTTTCAGTTTTGTTTATGTATATACAGTGTATATATATATATACATATGTATATTGTTCAATAAATATATATATATAATTATATATACATACACTGCATTACATTACATTACATTATATACATGTACATTACGTACATATGTTCTCAACATTGTCTTTTTTGCCAAAAATGGAGGGGCCGACGTGGTATACCGTGTATACCCTTTATTGTCATTTACCTATCGGTTGTTCAATGGGGGTGACCCGTCTGGAAATTAACCGTTAAAGGACATATACAACTGTGGTGATCATTCCACTTCTATGTGTCCTTTCCATGTCTACGTCTACATTTATATACATGTACATGCACAGGTATGTGTATGTGTACGTGTATTTGCATGTGCGTATGCAGCAAAATTACATATATATATATATATACATACCCAATTACATTATATATATATATATATTATATATATATATACCCATGTGTCTGTGCATGAATTGCCATAACTTTGGGTATTCCCCCTGTGTCTGTCATATGGCTTTGTCTCAACAGTTGACCCAAAGTTATGGCAGTTCAACAGGGATGATAAGTTGACCGGTTGCTGACCTGGTGACCCGTGTGACCTGGTGACCGGAGCACCACCCAGCTGTGTGTTGAAAATCGGGTCATGTCGAATCTTCCTGATTGGAAGGTTTAAACCAGGAACAACTTGGGATGAGTTCACCCTCTGGCAAACGTTTACAAAAAACGAACTGAAAAGATCCACCAAAAGCTATGAAAATGGGTAAATCCACGAACTTTCTATGGGCCATTTTCGATAGCTTTTTCTATGTTTACCAGCGTTCACCCATCGAATCTATGGCGAAGTCCCCGTGAAGCTTCATCCCAAAGAGATGGTTTTTTTTGATGGTTTTCCCCGATGATTCCCCCGTCATTTGCAAATCAACCAAAAAGGAAATATGCCTTGGTTATATACATACATATAAATATATATAAAGACATATATAATATATATATATAAAGACATAATGACATATATATATATATATACGTGGTTTTTCTGCGTTTCCCCATCCCCATTTTGGCTGTTTAAATCCACAGCAAAAAAATCCCCATCCAAACCTCCAAGTGACCCTGGGCCCACTGGGACTTCTCGAAACCCTTCTCGCCCACCCAGAAGCCTTCCTAGGCGAATGGCAAAATGGTGACCACGTGACCCAAATTATAGGACAGCCCCAAATTTAGGGAATCTGAGCCCCAAAAAAAATCGAGGAATCTGCAAACGTTGGATCAAACGGTCAGACCAACAAGATTAGGAAATAGACTTCAATACGGGAGTTGACCATCAAGAAGGTGAAGGTCATCGAAAAAAAAAAACATGGAATTTAACATCAAACCATGATGAGGTTTCAGCACCCAACAAAAATGAACCACCCAGGAGATCTGACTCGCAAAAAATGGGAAGACCAACCATATTGTGTTTGTCTAAAGCGATTCTTTTTTGACTTCAATCCCCAATGGTTCTTGATTAAACTAATTTTTTGTGAAGTGATTTGAGATCCGGGCAGAGACTTGCAAGCTCTTGTCATCAGGACTCTCCAACATCTTGTCCAGACCTGAGAGAATTTGACCAGAAATCGGCCGGATAACAAACTTGGAGGTAACAATCAAAAATGACTCAACCAACTGAAATGAAGATCTAACGCAGCAAGTGGATTGAACAAGCACACTTGGTGAATCTATCAGCCGAAAATGGATTCGACCGGTATTAATGTGGATAACATTTGAGGATATCTGAGCTATGGTGGTCAAAACCAACAAAAGGGAAGATAGGAATTGACCCTATCCCTTACATATGGAGTCTAACAAAAATTGTTTCAACACTTAACCTGTGCCATTCAGGTGTGGTAGTGGGCCAACAAATCTTCTCTTTACGTTGTTTTTATCTGACACCTTTCAATTTTGGGGGGGCTTTTTATGTTTGACCGCTGGCAAGTTCATTGTTGTATGACACCATCCATCTGGGGGAATCAGTTTGACCACAGCCAAATTTAGGAACCCGTTCTTCCCAAAGAACCATGGGGCACTTGTGGCCCGCTGGGGACTGCGCGATAGCCCCGCATCTGAGTAGACCTCAAGTCCGGTAATCCTCAAATCTCTCAGACTGTGACTTCTGGCCCTAGGAAGCTATGGTGACTGAACAGCAAAATATGGACTTGATGGGATTTATAGCTGATTTATGATAGCTAAGTAAATTGTTAACTTGGTTTTTTGTGTTGGGTTTAGGGGGGGCATTGGTATACTTAATGGATTTATAATCAAGCAAACATCACTGTGGGGGACTTTTTGGAGAATCATCCCATTTCGTGACTGCGCTGAGGAAGTGGGGTGGTTTTTTTCCGGTTTTTTTCCATGGGATAACCCACTGAAAGCAGGGACTTACTCACTAGGGCTATTTGTTTCATGATAGGTAAGAGAACACCGTGGTGGTCTACCCCAGGAATCCAGTAGGGGAACGAGAAGAACCCACAGTAAGGCAATCATGAAGTCACCCAGATGTTGATGGTAAAAATAGATGTCACCCATAATTTTGATGGTAAAAGTTGCGCTGGTGTTTTGAAAACTTAGCCACAGTACCATGAAACACGGGTCAGTTTGAACATGTGTCAATCATTTTGAACATTTGCCACCTCTCTGGAGGCTTTACCATTTTTCCAATGATAGATCTTGCCGGAACTTTCATGTAGATGAGATGATTCTGAGCCAGATCTAGCCATGTCCAGACTTGCGAAACAGAATGGTCTGATTTTTCTTATGTTGTAATGTCACTTAATGTCAACCCCGGACTAGTAAACCATGGTCTATTAATTAGGGGTACTCCTCCAATAGTCATTTCATCTGATACTTTTTATGGTACCCTCCCCATTAAACAGCCGTTTTTACGGGGTTTATTAATCCAGGCTTGACATTAATGTCACTTAAAACAATCATCGACCACTTGTCCATCCGCATGGTATGGATCTCGGAACAGAAACTCAGGCCGTGACACTGTCTCATCCCATGAAAGACTGGTTATATAATAGGTATCCCGTTGGTTAACGGTTAATAGGATTGAAATCTCCAAGAAACCACTTACTGTAGTAGGATCCCCAAAAAATACTGTAACCAATCAACTGCGGTATTTTGCTTGAGGAAAAGAACACACAAGCAATCTGTATTTTGACTGCTGAAGTATCAAAACTTGCGAATCGTCATTTTGATTCTGAAGAACTGAGTGAACCACTTACCGTCTGATAATCAGTCAGTCACATGGTTTCCACTGGAAACTCCCCCGTTTCGTTCGATGATTTTCCCATTTGATTGTCCATTTACCATGGAATTTCCCATACCCTCTGGTAAACTAACATAGCTATTGAACATGGCCATAGACATAGTGAGTTTTCCCATTAGAAATGGTGGATTTTCCATAGTTTGCCCATCGATTTCCGATGTTTTTGCAGCATCTGAAAGGGGATGTCGATGGCGATTTTTCCGAGCGAAAAAAACGGTGCCCAGGTTGCCCAGCGACGCACTTCGGGCATCCAGGCCAGCCTAGGCCACTTCGGGATCTGGAAAAAATGCCCATAGAAATAGATGATGTATGATTCAATGGCTTGGTTCAAGGGAAAATCTACAGGAAACCATGGTTTTTACCATCAAATACATGGTTTTCCTGTACATTTTCCCATCATCCAATTCTGTGAAACTTGATTTGCCTTTGATACCCTCTGGTAAACATACAAAAAACGATGGAAAACCACCATGTTTAATGGGAAAATCCACTATTTCAATGGCCATGTTCAATAGCTATGTTAAATTACCAGAGGGTAAACATGATGATTTGCCTATGATAAATGGCAATTTTTACATAGTTACATTCAACAGTTAAACAACCGTAGGTGTATACATATATATATATACACACACTATCATATACCCTCTGGTAGTGAAACGTGGTTTGCTGGAAAATTCACCATTTACTGTAGTTCAACTCGATTCTCCCAGCTATAGACCTTCATTTAGTTCCGGAATTTCCATTGCTATGGTTGATTCATCTTGAGTACATCTACCCTCTGGCAAATGTTTACATAACTATGGAAAATCACCATTTTTTATGGGTAAATCAGCTATAAATGACCATGTTCAATAGCTATGTTTGTTTACCAGAGGGTATCTGTCTGCAACACTCAAAGGGTTGCTTGAAAAAAAATATTGTGGAACCAGCCTGTAGATGCAGGCACATCTCCGCAAGGTTAACATCATCGAACCCGGAAACGGGAGATCACTTGGATGAGTCAAAATGGAACATCCCAAAGACTACCCTAACGTAGCGAACTGGAGAGTCACCATTCTTAATAGGTAGATCATCTGTAAATCATCCACAAATGGGCCATATTCAATAGTTAAATAACCAGAGGGTATATGATCTAGCATTTCTCGTGCATTTACCCTTGATTACAATCTTAAGTGGTGAATTCCCATTTATGTTGCTTTGTATGTGCCATGGTCAACAAATGAAATTTATGGGTAATGGAAACCCCACAATCATGAATGGAATTCCTTGTGTTTAATGGGTGTATGAAAAACGGCAAAAATGACCATCCCCCAATATCAGCGATCAAAAAGTTTCAAATAAAAAGTTGGCTACAAATCCCATTCATTTTCCATTCATCTCATGAAATCCCCATGGAAATCTCGGCCGCTCCGGCTCCCCTTGGGCTCCCCTGCGCCCACGAAGGCCGATCCGTAGAGCACGCCCAAAGCCGCCGCCACGGCGGCCAGGCTGGCGGAGAGGTATAGATGTAATATACACTATGATAATATTGGTATTATACTATATTGTAATAATATTATAGTACTATTATGGTAATAATATTATAGTACTGTGATAATATTGGTAAAATATACCATAATATTGTACTATGGTAATATACTATATACCATAATATTGTACTATATTGGTACTATATTGGTATATACAAATATACCCGCAAACCCTGTGTCTCGCCGTCGCCAAAATGGTCCGGCATCACTTTCGAGATTTGCATTCCGTGCAAGCGAAACTTTTTTTTCTATTTTCACACCGCCAAAAATGCATTTTTACCTGCGGCCACCAATGAATCGGAGCACGTGCATTTTGCGTGGCAGGCGCAGTGTTTTGTGATGGTTGGAAAAGAACCATTTTAATTTTCGCTGGCAGGCACGAGAGATTCTTGCGTTTTTTGATTTTTTGGGAGGTTGATGTTTTATCCGTTTTTTTGGTGAGTGATGTTTGTTCTTATTTGTCCGTGAATGGAAAGCATGTCGATTTTGCGTGGCAGGGGCAGTGATTTGTGATGGTTGGAAAAGAGCCATGTTAATTTTTGCTGGCAGGCGCACGGGATTCTTGCCTTTTTGGATGTGTATGGTTGGAAAGGAGCCATCTTCATTCTTGCGCTGGGGCGATAATAGCGTTCTCAACGCGGCTAGCATGTTACTCTGTTAAACTTCCTAGGATCATGTTCTGAACTTTTTGTGTAACGCGCTCTTGATGCTATGTTCTTAACTGTTTATTTCAGCTTGAACATCTCTTGATGGTACGCTGTAGATTTTCTTGTTATTGTTTAAAATACGCTCTTCATGCTACCCTTTTACATTGTTCAGGTTAACACGTTGTTGGTGGTGCGCTGTTGGCTTTCTTATATTGATGCTGACACGCTGTTGATGGTGCGCTGATGCCTTTCTTATGTAGATGTTAACATGCTGTTGATGGTACGCTGTTGACTTTCTTATGTTTATGTTGACACTTTGTTGCTGGCACGCTGTTTGAAATCTTATGTTTATGTTAACACGCTGTCGATGGTACACTGTTGACTTTCTGACGTTGATGTTCAAGTCCTTGCTGCAGCCGCGTTGTGCAGAAAGGAATGCGCCACTGGCCTTGTCAGAGTGTCACCTAGTGATGCCTTCGAAGCTGCACGCCTTCAGTAACTCCAGTGAGATGATGAAAAAGTTTCGTGCATGTGTTTCTGCCGGACAAGTTTTTGAAAAAAAAAGAAAGGGTGAAAATTGAAAAATCAACCAAAACCATCAGCTTTTAGCCGTTTCAGGCGACGGCGAGACATAGGGTTTGCGCAAATACATATATATATATAGTTATATATACATATATATATAGTTATAATATATATATATATATTATACATACATACATACATACACACATGTGGGTGTGTGTGTGTGTGTCTCTCTCTCTCTCTAAATACAATAGGTACATGCAATTGTATCTACAGAGAGAGAGAGAGAGAATTGCGTATGTGTACATACATAGGTACTAAGTGATTAGGGGAATATTACATAGCCAGAAGGTGCAACTATGAAATGGACTGTAAGTTTGGACAATGGGTCAAGGCAATCTGTCGTTTCAAATTTGATAAGCATACGACATAACAGGAAACTCGTTGAGTGTTACGGTCACATGGCTAGCTGGAAAATTCTCCTGTACCCGCAGCACGTGCGCTACACCCCACAGGTACTTCACTATACACACTTTCATTGGGGGCTTCAGGGTTTCCTTAGGCTTCATTTAGGGTTTCTTTAGGGCTAATGTAGGGTTTTCTACGTTTTTTTAGGGTTGATGTCAAAAGTGACGAAAACCGGTATTGGGAGACAGATTCCCCGTAGAGGGTCGTCAACGGCGACGGCGACGTTGAGGGTGCGCAAACCAAGAGCCAGCGAGTTGTTGCATCCTCTGCTAGAAAGCCACAAAGTACTGGGTTCCAGTCACCTAAAATGAGGGTTTAAAGGAATCATCCCCGAATTTCTAGATGATTCTCCCATTCTAATACCCATTGAGTTTGGATTTCCCAACCGGAAATCTGGAGACATTTTGATTCGTCCAGAATGTCTTGATATCATGGGTTGTTCAAGACTCCCACTCGTACTTTCCTTTGGGTCCCTGTTCAATTTTCAAAGTGCTGACAGATCGACCCTGTCTGTGATGTTTTTCAGTTTATCAATATCCCATTTTTCTTCGTTGCAACAAGCTACTATTTACCTTCTGGTAAACTAACATGGCTCTGGAAAATCACCATTTGAAGTAAATCAACCATGAATGGGCAATTTTAAATAGCTGTTGAACATTTAACATGTTATACAGTATTAAGCGGTAAATCACCTATTTTTAAGAGGTAAATCAACCATAAAATACCAGTCTACCTTTCCACAAGCCAGGTCCTTCTGGATTAGCCACCAGAAAACTCCTGTAGAAAATCATCCATTTAGTTTGCTGATGTTCAAACATCAGATAACCTACATTTATACGGGATCTCACAGCTCAGAGATGCTCAGAGATCCCAATATTTCACCAATATCCTATCAATCTCCCATCAGAATTTCCCATCAATATCCCATGATATGCTCCAATCCAAAACCTCTGTTTTTCATGGGAAAAATCAACTCATTGGACTGTTGTTTCTATGATTAAATCCCAAGCTACACTGGGTTAATGAAAACAGTGAGATTCAGCAACAAAATCCTGAATTCTTCATCCAACCAAACCTTAACTAACCTTGACTTCACAAAAAAAAAAAAACATCGCCCAACCAAAAGTTGTCATTTTCACCATGAAAATCTTCATCTCTGCTGGTAAAATTGGTGAAATCCCCTGTTCTCCGAGTTACAGGGCGCGCGTCAGCGCACTGCTACGAGCCATGCGAGCGATTTTTGCACCTGGGAGCATGACACAGGGGGATCTATGGATGTCATGATATCAACCTTGAGATGCGCTGGAGATCACCCATACTGTTGATATAGCATGATATAGCCATACTTGGGTATCTATTAGCCATACTTGGCAGCCATAGCCATTGAGGATTCCCCCGAAATCCAATTCATCATCAAACGTGGCAATGTAAAATCCACCATTTAGTTCAATGATTTTCCAAGCTATAAGCTTCCATTTAGTTCGGGCGTTTCCCTATGTTTGATTACCAGAGGGTCAGCGTTAAATGTTATGATTGGACCAAGAAAATTTGGGATTTCATTGATTTTTATACTGAACCTTTTGATGCAAATTAAATGGGGGGATTTAGCACATGTTCTGCTGATTTAACCAGCCATTTCCGCTGGGAATCCAACGGACAAAACGACAAGACCGCCGGGATCAAAACCAGCCAGCCACCGGAGAGCGCGATGAATGCAGTGGAATGACCCAAAAAATGTGTGTATCATGACCCTGAACTAGATGGTATATGACTCAAATATGTATGTATTTATACATATATATATACATTATTATTATTACTATTTTTATTATTACTATTTTTATTATTATTATTTTGCACTGTATTGCATTGTATTATATTATACTATATTATATCATTGTATATTATATAACATTAAATGATATTATATATAACATTATTATACATATATATATGTAATATTGTATATATATATATATATATTCATTTATCAGTACGTCTATTTGTCGATGTAGACTGCTGGTTAACCGAAACTCTTGCATTCAACCTTGGCACTTAGGCTGACCTGATCAACCTCTCGGTGAGCTTCCAAAAAAACTGGGGTGAAAATGTCGACCTTGAAGCATTGGTTTGGCCACTCAAAAGGCACTATAGAATACTCTATACATAACACTATATAACACTATACTATACTATATACTATACATATATATATACCATCTGGTTATTTAACATAGCCATAGAAAATCACCATGCTATTAATAGGTAAACCATGTATGAATGGGCCATTTTATCGCCACCTTATATATACTATATACTATATACAATAAATACTGTTCTATGTATATATATATATACTATATACATCTATATACTATATACTATATACTATACTATTCTATATATATATATATATGACTATATATACATTAAATATATATATATATACCTGTATACATATATATATATACATATATATATATACTATACCATATGCTACATATAAATATGTTTTCCTGTCACTGGGCGACCGGCACCGGCACCGGACCGACTCCGCGTCTTTGGGTTTTTTGATGGCGTGCGACCCAAAATGGCTGCAGCTTGGCGTCTGATGGCATCATGCTACCCAGCCGGTCTTTAAGAGCACCGCCTTTTTTTAATCCTGAAACTTATTATATAAATTGTCGGTGGGTGATAAGAAAAATAAGTTCTGTAACTTATGAACTAATCTACTCATTCATACTTATTTCACTTTCAATGGGCTACAATATGTTACAATCCGGTGACTGATCATCAATGTTGGTCATTTCACCCCAACTACACCCCAACCTTCAGCCATGGGTTCCCATTCATAAGCAGCATCCTCTGCTTGTGGTGAGTGTGGTTCACTCTTTCGCACAGGGCAACATTTTGATGAACCAACGCAGAAGTAGGAAATCACTATATTATATAAATATATCTATCTATCTATCTATCTAGCTATCTATCTATCTAGCTATCTATCTATCTATCTAACTATCTATCTATCTATCTATCTATCTATCTTATCTATCTTATCTATCTTATTTATCTTATCTACCGTATCTATCTTATCTACCGTATCTATCGTATCTATCGTATCTATCGTATCTATCGTATCTATCGTATCTATCGTATCTATCGTATCTATCGTATCTATCGTATCTATCGTATCTATGGTATCTATCGTATCTATCGTATCTATCGTATCTATCGTATCTATCGTATCTATCGTATCTATCGTATCTATCGTATCTATCGTATCTATCGTATCTATCGTATCTATCGTATCTATCGTATCTATCGTATCTATCGTATCTATCGTATCTATCGTATCTATCGTATCTATCTTATCTATCTTATCTATCTTATCTATCTTATCTATCTTATCTATCTTATCTATCTATCTATCTATCTGTCTGTCTGTCTGTCTGTCTATCTATCTATCTATCTATCTAACCTATCTTATCTATCTAAGCTATCTAACCTATCTAACCTATCTAATCTATCTGAACTATCTAATCTATCTAATCTATCAAATCGATCTAATCGATCTAACCTATCTAATCTATCAAATCGATCTAATCAATCAAACCGAACCTATCTAATCTATCGAATCTATCTAATCTATCTAATCTATCTAATCTATCTAATCTATCTAATCTATCTAATCTATCTAATCTATCTAATCTATCTAATCTATCTAATCTATCTAATCTATCTAATCTATCTAATCTATCTAATCTATCTAATCTATCTAGTCTATCTAGTCTATCTAACCTATCTAATCTATCTAATCTATCTAATCTATCTAATCTATCTAATCTATCTAATCTATCTAATCTATCTAATCTATCTAATCTATCTAATCTAACTAATCTATCTAATCTATCTAATCTATCTAATCTATCTAATCTATCTAATCTATCTAATCTATCTAATGTATCTAATCTATCTAATCTATCTAATCTATCTAATCTATCTAATCTATCTAATCTATCTAATCTATCTAATCTATCTAATCTATCTAATCTATCTAATCTATCTAATCTATCTAATCTATCTAATCTATCTATTCTATCTAATCTATCTATTCTATCTAATCTATCTAATCTATCTAATCTATCTAATCTATCTAATCTATCTAATCTATCTAATCTATCTAATCTATCTAATCTATCTAATCTATCTAATCTATCTAATCTATCTAATCTATCTAATCTATCTAATCTGTCTAATCTTTCTAATCCATCTAATCCATCTAATCCATCTAATCCATCTAATCCATCTAATCCATCTAATCTATCTATCTATCTAGCTATCTAGCTATCTAGCTATCTAGCTATCTAGCTATCTATCTATCTATCTATCTATCTATCTATCTATCTATCTATCTATCTATCTATCTATCTATCTATCTTATCTATCTATCTATCTATCTATCTATCTATCTATCTATCTATCTATCTATCTATCTATCTATCTATCTATCTATCTATCTATCTATCTATCTATCTATCTATCTATCTATCTATCTATCTATCTATCTATATCTCTCTCTCTCTATCTATCTATCTATCTATCTATCTCTCTCTCTATCTATCTATCTATCTATCTACCTATCTATCTATCTATCTATCTATCTATCTATCTATCTATCTATCTATCTATCTATCTATCTATCTATCTATCTTATCTATCTTATCTATCTTATCTATCTTATCTATCGTATCTATCTTATCTGTCTTATCTATCTTATCTATCTTATCTATCTATCTACGTACTTACGTATGTATGTATGTATGTATGCATGTATGCATGTATGCATGTATGCATGTATGCATGTCTGCATGTCTGCATGTGTGCATGTGTGCATGTGTGCATGTGTGCATGTGTGCATGTGTGCATGTGTGCATGTGTGCATGTGTGCATGTGTGCATGTGTGTATGTGTGTATGTGTGTATGTGTGTATGTGTGTATGTGTGTATGTGTGTATGTGTGTATGTGTGTATGTGTGTATGTATGTATGTATGTATGTATGTATGTATGTATGTATGTGGCAAAGAAACATGAGACCGGAAGCTTAGTATTAAGACGTGTCCTCCCGGAGATTCTTGAAGTTTCACCACTGGTTTCCAGCAGTTTCGATCGCCTTCCAAACATCATATGAGGGGCAAGTCTGCAGAAATATCCAATGACTCCCAAAAAAATGCTTCGATCCCCCCCGAAATCATTGCTTCTCCCTCCCAAAAAATAAAGCATTTTGCAAGTTTGCCCCATTTTTGCCATACCCTCTGGTAAACTAACATAGCTGTTGAAAATGACCATCTATAGTGGATTTTCCCATTAAAAATTGTGATTTTCCATAGTTATGTTAGTTTACCAGAGGGTAAATCTTTGGGGGTCCCAACCTTTTTTTGTTGACCACGTCCCCATGACATGTTGACGTCCCCTTATGACATCCCCATGACATCGTCACTTCAAAGGCCGTCTTCTTCAGTCGCTTCAGGAAGGGCTGGAACTCGAACATCACGGCCTGAACAAACGCAAAAAAAAACGCCAGATTGAATGGGATTTTAATGGGATCTGTGATGTTCTAATTATGGATATATGATGTATCCATATACGTTCTCAAATTGGAATGGAATCTCAGATCTCATTATAATATATTATAATTAGGATGTTATGATCCCTTTTTTCAGCCCTTGGAAAATTGAATTTTATAACATGTTCTAACTATGTGGGGATACAATGGAATATCATGCCATATCATTTACCACGTTCCTTGGTACATCATGCTGCGGTGGTTTTTCGCACCAGCGAATGGCTGGAATCTGCGGAGAAAAACCAACGTTTTACAAAAAGTGCGGTAAAGCCGTGTAAAACCGTGCGGTAAGGCCTCGTGATGGGTCTCTGAGTGATGGGTATACATCAACTTTTGTGGACCGACCAGCTATTGACAACTCTCCCGGGCACCTTGGCATCAGCATGGACCTCACGTCAAGTCATGATCTGTTGATGGTTATGGTTTCTTTTCCATAGCAAAAAAAAACAAAGAAAATAACATCAAGTACCCATCCATTGGGGATGGGATCTGCAGCCATGGGTGGTGCTTCATTTCGGCCCTAACGTTTGAATTCACGGCCGAAGCAAAACCCCACTGTTTGGGATATTCATGAGAGCGGACTTCCCCAGTGGAAAACACCAACATGCATAGAACTTCCCAGCTCCGTTTCCTTGATTGACTAGAACCTCATCGAAAAAAAAAACATTCCATACATATGGGTTTGTCCAAACATTAGGCTATATATATATACCCCAAACTATCCATCATCATGAGAAAATGATCCAATAAACCACTGGAAATTCGGGTGCCATATGTGTCCAACCCATAAACTATATATCATTGTCACTTCCCCCCCTTCACCCGTCCCCTTCATCGGGGCCCTCGTTGAGATTCCCCTGCTCGTTTCTGGAAGGCATCCACGCTGTAGGCACCCATGAGGTCCTACCAGAAGGGGATACACTGTCGTTGTTATCATCACAATCGTAATCATAACCAGAAGAAGAAGAATCGTCGTCGTCGTCGTCGTCGTCATCATCATCATCATCATCGCTATGTCGCCAGTATCATCATTCTATTGAATTCTATAAATGGGGGATATGTTTGCAGGAAACGAGATTTGAAAACCAACCGGAATCATGACTTACGAGTGACCGAAACAGTGAGTAAAGACGAACAAACATAGGGATACGTTTGAGGAATATGAAGTCGTCTAAAACGAACAGAAATGGTGGTATAACAAACAGTGAAAGATAGCCAGCCAATAGGGCAATCCGCGATAGAGCCAACACCAAGGGAAATCAACAGAAATGCGATATAAACAAACCATGAAAAAATGTGAAAATGGAATGGTGACAGAACAAAAATTGGGAAAAGCAACCAATAAATATACAGTAGATTGAATAGACAAACGATGTATACTGTATACTGTATACTGCATAAGGAATTGAAATATATTGAAATGATGACAAAATGAAGAAACATGGTGGGGATGCAATCAAGATGAAATTATGATCTATTCAATGGGAATTTCAGGATCCAAAAATGGAGCTACTGTACCATATAAGGCCATATGTTGTGGGGATATCCCCTTACATAGGCCTAAAAAATAGGCCTTATATATGGTAGGTACCTTTAATAAATCGGTTCCTGAAATTGCCAGTGATTATATACCAATGATTAACCATGATTAACCATGATTAACCATTATTAACCACTATTAACCATTGATCTATGCTTTTGCTGACATCCATGTTAGCAGCTTTTTTCCACTTGGAGGCGACGTGTACCATGCAGATCCTGCCGAATTCGTCAGTTTCTGCACAGCCTTCGTTTGGGCAAATCTGTTTGGGTATGAAGCATGGTCATTAATAACATCCGAGATACCACATATGTATATATATATATTATGTGTATATGTGTGTGTGTGTCTACAGTGATTGTGTTGTTTCCTTTCTCATACATGCAGGCAGCAGCAACTTTCATCTACTGACCTATGAGCTTCTGCTTCTGAATCCAGTGCCACGCTGTGTCGATAGGCCATCAATGCAAACTTTGGGGGTTCCAACTTTGGGATGTCAACATGCGAACGTCTCATCAAGCTGTGTCGATAGGCCATACTTTTCCAAGACCAATCAATGGTTCAGCTTGTTGGCGACATCAGCCCAATAACTTAGGTGTTTTGCCTTGGGTTGCGTATCGTGAAGAAGCATCTCACAAACTGCAACTTCCTTCTTCCCTGAAGCTCCACTACCCGACATCAAATTTTCGTGATCCAACTCCTTAGGCTCAGAAGCGGAGCTGTGAAACCTATGCGCGGCTGCCTCTGAATTCACATCTCAACCGAATCAGTCCAGGTCGTCCAAACCCAAGGGGTCCTGAACAGGAAAACAGCGAAGGGGAGCAGTTGCAACCACCTGTCTAGGCTAAATGTCCATGTATAGAGGCCATGACTTATGCCATGACTTATGGTGAATGTTTGAAAGCCAATTCTTGATACTGTCCACAAATGTAACTTGGCAATGTGAAAACAAATGGTGTGTGTGTGGGGGTGTAGGTATAAATCATTTAATTACAGATTTATGTGATCGAGGGTCGAGGAGTGACCATTGCCAGCTCAGATTTCCAGAGGTTATTTTCTGAACCAACCATGACACACAACACCCGCCTTCGCAACATGGGTCACAGCTGCCTTCGGCTGCGCTTCCTCCTTCGGTTGCAGCTTGGGTGGTTCCCCAGCTGGCACCGTGGCCTTTTCTGCCGCCCTGGGGCGTTCGGGAGGTTGGAACACCGCAGCCTTGGGTGCAGCTGGTGTCGCAGCTGTTGGTGTCGCAGCTGTTGGTGTCGCAGCTGCAGGGGCTGGGGCTGAGGATGCTACCCTGGATGGGGGTTGGAAGGCGGCAGGTTTCACCACCTGTGGGTAACCCCCTGTAGTTGGAGCCTCAACTGCTGGTGCTGCGGCCGTTGGCGCAGGTGTTGGGGCAGGGGTTTTCACAGGCGCCGCCGCCGGCTTGGCATTGGCCGGTGCAGGGGCGCCGGAGGGCAAGAGCCTCAAAACCTTGGGAGAATTTGAAGCAAAGACCAGGCATACGGAAGACTTGGGATTCAGCCAGCCAGCCCATGTCAACAAAAACCAAGGAAAGTATAATAGAAAATGTGCAAAACAAGGAGTTTTCCTTCTGAAAATGTCGTCTCAAACCTTGGCTATGGTCTTTCCGCCACATTGACAGGAGTATGGGTCAAACATGGGATGATTTCATCCAAAAAGTGGGTTGACCCATCCACACACCAGCCTTTAAACCGAACATTGGATCCCCTTCCTCCAAGAGTGCTGCGCCTAACTACGCTTTGACGAGGGAGACTGTGTTCGGGATATTGGAGTACCCTCCACTAAGCTACCCTGCGATTGGAAGATCCACCATGAGCAGATCATTCCTACAATATATACTCTCGGGCATTCGTCTCATGGTCACGCAAGCGTGTGAGACCGGTGCGCACGCCGACGAGTATTTCGTGAGCGTGTGGACCGTTGCAGAAAACTAATTAAATGCAGGCACCCGCGTTGACGAGAGACGCGGGGAAAAAGCAAATTGGGCGGAAAGGTCCTGCAAAGCCACCGACGGCAAGAGGACACGCCCATTGAACCCAGGACAGTCAAAACACGCACCAAAAGTGCGAACGGACCTGACCTGAGACAAGTGCCGGGACCAAGGTACCGCGACACCCGCCTTGAGGATGGCATCGAAAGTTCTCTTCCAAGTACGGAACATCGTCGCGAAAGATGGAATTGCGAACTCCAAAGTAGGGTCATCCTGAACCCAAACCCACTCATGATAGTGCAAAACCTACAATATATACTAAAGACGATGAGTTTGCATGAAAATCGGAGACCATAGGACACCCCAAAAAATCTCAGGGTTGCTTCTCATTTTGCTCATTCAAATACCCATTTCCGGTCTCCCCGCGCCGAGACGAGAGGCAATGCCCCGCCGCTCATCCGACAGAAAAATCCCACCATCCTGGTCGATCGCTAGGCCCCACCTGGGAGAAAATCAGCCAATGCTATGCGTTTTCCAAGCGTCATAGCTTCTGATTTAATGCCATTTAAATGGGATTTCATGGAATTGTGCTAAAGCTGAAAGCTTGAGATTTTCTCCATGCTTTCATTGTAAAATCCTGAAAAAAGGCCATCTCCTCATGCTGTCATCCCAGCTTGTCGACAAGAATCACCACGGTGAAATCCCAATCTACGCGAATCTTCCTGGCAATCCATGCCATGGTTTTCTTGGCCAAAACCCAAATTATTGGGTTCCGAGTTATTTCCAGCTGACTCCCGATTTCTTGGTGTGTAAAATGTTATTACAACCCATATAATATATATATACGTATACATATGTATAGTATAATATAATATATATATATAATATATAATATATAATATATAATATATAATATATAATATATAATATATAATATATAATATATAATATATAATATATAATATATAATATATAATATATATAGTATATATATATATATACGTACATATATATATATACTGTATACACTTTGGATGGCGACATCCATCATGTCTGCTGCCAAGGTCACGGTCGCTCCAGCAACTCACGACCCAGCAGCTGCTCCGGCTCCGATCCTCTTTCCGGGGTTCAACCAGCACTGGTTGGTGGTTGAGCCACCTACCATTGGTTGGTAATATACTGTTAATATTAATGGTTAATATTAATGGTTATTATATGGTTATTAAATGGTTAATGATGGTTATATTATATTTTTTGAATCCCATGAATTATCATACTTAGTTGCTTAACTATGGTGAATATTGACTATTAATATATGGTTAATATTACTGGTTATTATATGGTTTTCATGATGGTTAAGAATAATCTGGTTGGTGGTATACCTACCCCTCTGAAAAATATGAGTTCGTCAATTGGGATGATGAAATTCCCAATATATGGAAAAATAAAATTCATGTTCCAAACCACCAACCAGCAGCAATGTACTTTCAGAATAAGCTATTATGTTGAGGGTAGTGTCAGGGAGCGGTAGTTGTTTGTGTTTGATGACTCAGACTTATCCAGCAAAAATAGGTGGACCCAGCAAAATGTTCAGCAAAACGGGTGATATTATGTTAAGTATAGTATATGTAGATGTAGAAGGAGTCTGAAGGGGAAGTCGTGGGGATTAAGATGCAACATTTTCTGGAAGTCTGATTGAAGTTGACCAAAGCTCGATGACTGTGAATCCAGCAAAATGGAGTTGTGACGTCCAGTCAAATGTGGATTATCAACAGATGAAGTCCATTAAGATTGGCTCAAAAATATTGGGCGCCAACAGAATTGGATCGCTTTGAAGTGGCATCTGACAGCTTTCATGGGTAGACAGATGTGGACCAACTACCCGGTAATTACCCGACTTGGAGTCGTACACTTATATATATATATATACATATATATATACATATATATATACATATATATATATATTCATATATATATATATTATATCATATAACCAAGAGGAAACAGAGCTAGAATTAGCAGAAACCGCTAATTTCACCAGTGAAGTTTCCCAAACCCAACAGACAGTTTTGCCACAAACATGGACCAGAGTTGCAGAGCTCGCTTTAAAAATCGGAGGATCCACAATATACCCTGTGGTAAACGTTTACATAACTATGGAAAGATCCACCATGCTATCAATGGGTAAATCCACTATGTCTATGGCCATTTTCAATAGCAAACTGTAAACGTTTACCAGAGGGTAAACCTCCATTTTCCTGTGGTTTTCCTATGGTTTTCCTATGGTTGTCCATTCAATCCTTGCAAAAAACCAAACTACCAGAGGGTACCATCCCACCATCCCAACATTGGCGAAACTGTGCACAGCCATCCCCCACGTTCAGCCGCCTTCCCTGATGCGCATCAGCCGCGCATTGCCGCGGTCCGCCACCAGCAGAGCACCATCGGCCTCCACAGCCAGGCCTGGAGAAATGGAGAAATGGCAACCCCCAGATCCAGGGAGTAATCAGAAAATAGTAGTTGTAATTTTTGAAGTTTCTCTGAATATCTCTGAATCTTTGATTTTTTCTTCTGGTCCCAAAAAGTCCGGGTTTTTTGTTGATCCTTTCCCAGAATTTCGTGATAGAAGCACCAAACATAGGATGTAACACTGGATTCTTGGGTGTTATGTGATGGCGCACAAAATCTCGAACCCATGCTATGATGCTATGGTTGTTTTGTCCAAGTGTTGAGCGCCCTAAAATCTACTGGGGTCAAGCTGCTAGGGGACCATCCATTGCGGGGGGTCATCAAAAAATAACCCCGTTCCAATGTCAGCAACCCACCCAAATTTGGATGCAGCCAACAAAAAATGAGTAAAAATGAGTGAGATAGATAGATAAGATAAGATAAGATAAGATAAAATCAGATAAGATAAAATCAGATAAGATAAGATAAGATAGATAGATAGATAGAACAGATAGATAGATAGATAGATTGCGAATCGGGGATTGTTGGCCCGATTATGTTCCTGTAATTGATGTTGATTCTTGCAGTTGCAATGATGACCTCACGAGGGCGGCAGCTTCCGCATGGCTTTCATTTTCCCTGTAGCTGCAGTATGTCTTGAGCCGAAGAGGCCAATGTCGGAGTGCCCCTTTGACGATGGATCCTAGAGTGTATGATTATGCATATATACAGTGATCCGTAGCCCACACTCTATTCGCACCCCCCACGCATAGCCAACTTTGTCGGCTACGCGCAAAGGAGTGTTCTTTGAATTGATCCATTACACTCGCAGCTATTCATTTATTGAATTATGGAGAGCTAAAGTTCGTTTCAGAACTTCATATCTACATGGCGGCTTGCTACAATCTCTACCAAAAGATAAAGGTTCTGTTCACGTGCATGTAGACACGACGTAGTCGGTGTCTAGCATTGAGGTTCATCCGATGTGGCGTAGCCAGCATGGAATCCCACTCAAGCAGGTGAATTACAAATAAAATCAAAACACAAATATGACTCAGGAACTAGAATTTTACCTTCCCGTTCCTTCGTCGATTGAGACGTAGACCGCTGTAGAAACTCAGCGTTTCATGCAATGATGTTCAAAATAAGCCGACGTAGATCCCCAACAGCGGTTGGTTTCAAACAGTGGTCCAACTTTGCAACCCAAGACGGATTAATGATGGCAGGAACAGGATTCCATAGCCTAAGTCTCTTCGGCGATTTTTTGCCCGCCCTGCCCCGTCCCCTTTTGGACCAAAGGCAAGATGAGACATGTTCTTTAAGAAAGCGCGCATAATTGAATTTACATACATTTGGTTACAAACGAATGGCAGTATTTGCAGACCACGGTGTGTCATTAAGTGTTTACAAAATTGTGTGTGTGTGTTGGTTTGGGATTATCTTGTCGTGCTTGGACAACGTCGGTCAGTTTGCGCAAGTGATTGGTGAAACAGTTGGTTTTGGCCAAATTGTCCATCATGATTCCAGAATTAGTTTCATGTCAATACTTGGTTGTTGTGTCACAACTGTGTCTGAAGTTTCATTGTGTGTTGCTGTTTGGTCACTTAGCTTTAAAAAAATCATCTACCTGGCTTCGAGAAGCCTCACACAGGTTTGCTGCCAATATTTAGGTGTTCCAAGGCATCGAACTTAATTGCTTGATGTGGCATGTGCTTTGGTAGATGCGACATCGGAACAGTTCAAACAGAAGATTTTACAGCAACATCAGAACAGGTCAGTCGACCGACGCTGTGCGCCCACTGAGCAAACGAACATGAATCGGCATGTGCGGAACCCGCCACAAAGCACCCAAGATTGGCTGGGGGATTTCCGGAATCCCTTGTGTTCCTGGAACCTTGTCTTCCTGGAACCCTCGTTTCCGGAACCTTGGCACAACCCACAGCGTATATTGGAACCCTGGGTTTGCGGAACCGAGACGCGCTGATTTATTGTCACGCTGTGCCCCCCCCTGTCAGCGATTGCTCGTTGACAGGGCCTATATGGTCCTGGAACCTTGGTTTCCTTGAAAATTGGTTTTCTGGGACCCTGTCCGTAGCATGAACCTTGGTACAACCCACGGCGTATATCCGACCCCTGGGTTGTTTCCGGAACCTCGGAACCTTGCCAGAACCCTGGTTCTCTGGAACCTGGGCTGGGCTTCTTGAAAATTGTTGTTCCGCAACCTTGTCCCTGTCCGGAACCTGTGGCATAATCCAGGAAGTATATCCAAACTGTGGGTCCGCATCCGCGGTGGTTCTCGGAACCTTGTCGGAACCCAGTGTTGCTGGAACCTTGCCGGAACCCTCGTTCCCCAAACTCTGGGTTTCCAGGATGTTTCAAAATTGGTGTTCCGGTGATTCCAGAACCGCTCGAAACCATGGTAAGGTTCCCGGAACCTTGTCGAAAGCCAAGTGTGCCCGGAACCTTCCTGGCGCCGAGAACCTGGGGATCCCGGAACCTTGACGTCCCGGAACCCAAAAGGTAGCCAGAACCCATTGTTCCCAGAACCTTGCTTGAAAGTCTGGTTTGCGGAACCTGGAACCTTGCCCCGAACCCTGGTTCCCGGAACCCTGAGTTCCGGAACCTTGCCCGGAACCCTGGTTCCCGGAACCGGCAGCGGTTGGTTTCAAACAGTGGTCCAACTTTGCAACCCAAGACGGATTAATGATGGCAGGAACAGGATTCCATAGCCTAAGTCTCTTCGGCGATTTTTTGCCCGCCTTGCCCCCTCCCCTTTTGGACCAAAGGCAGGATGAGACATGTTCTTTAAGAAAGCGCGCATAGTTGAATTTACATACATTTGGTTACAAACGAATGGCAGTATTTGCAGACCACGGTGTGTCATTAAGTGTTTACAAAATTGTGTGTGTGTGTGTGTGTTGGGGGATTATCTTGTCGTGCTTGGACAACATCGGTCAGTTTGCGCAAGTGATTGGTGAAACAGTTGGTTTTGGCCAAATTGTCCATCATGATTCCAGAATTAGTTTCATGTCAATACTTGGTTGTTGTGTCACAACTGTGTCTGAAGTTTCATTGTGTGTTGCTGTTTGGTCACTTAGCTTCAAAAAATCATCTACCTGGCTTCGAGAAGCCTCACACAGGTTTGCTGCCAATATTTAGGTGTTCCAAGGCATCGAACTTAATTGCTTGATGTGGCATGTGCTTTGGTAGATGCGACATCGGAACAGTTCAAACAGAAGATTTTACAGCAACATCAGAACAGGTCAGTCGACCGACGCTGTGCGCCCACTGAGCAAACGAACATGAATTCGGAATTCAGTGAGGGGCCACAAAGCACCCAAGATTGGCTGGGGGATTTCCGGAATCCCTTGTGTTCCTGGAACCTTGTGTCCCTGGAACCTTGTCTTCCTGGAACCCTCGTTTCCGGAACCTTGGCGCAACCCACAGCGTATATTGGAAACCTGGGTTTCCGGAACCGAGACGCGCTGATTTATTGTCACGCTGTCCCCCCCCCTGTCAGCGATTGCTCGTTGACCGGGCCCTTTTGGTCCTGGAACCTTGGTTTCCTTGCAAATTGGTTTTCTGGGACCCTGTCCGTAGCATGAACCTTGGTACAACCCACGGCGTATATCCGACCCCTGGGTTGTTTCCGGAACCTCGGAACCTTGCCAGAACTCTGACCTTGTCCCTGTCCGGAACCTGTGGCATAATCCAGGAAGTATATCCAAACTGTGGGTCCGCATCTGTGGTGGTTCTCGGAACCTTGTCGGAACCCAGTGTTGCTGGAACCTTGCCAGAATCCTGGTTCCCCAAACTCTGGGTTTGCAGGATGTCTCAAAATTGGTGTTCCGGTGATTCCAGAACTTTGGCACAATCCAGGCTCTGGCTGCTCGAAACCATGGTAAGGTTCCCGGAACCTTGTCGAAAGCCAAGTGTGCCCGGAACCTTCCCGGAACCTTGACGTCCCGGAACCCAAAAGGTAGCCAGAACCCATTGTTCCCAGAACCTTGCTTGAAAGTCTGGTTTGCGGAACCTTGGGTTCCTGGAACCTTGCCCCGAACCCTGGTTCCCGGAACCCTGGGTTCCCGGAACCTTGCCCCGAACCCTGGTTCCCGGAACCGGTTCTCGGAACCCTGGTTCCCGGAACCGGCGAAACGAGGCGGCAGGGTCGAGCAGTGCCCCGGAGCACCCCGAAGGCTATGTGGGCTGAGACCCCAAAGCATTCTGCTGTTGGGGAAAAATATGTGGTTCTAAATTAGCCGGCTCAGAGTCCTCTCAGAAATCATTCAAAATGAAGTAGAGGTAAATCTCGAGCAATGATTGCATCCTCGCATCGCCAGGTTCAATCGGGACCTATGCAGAGGTCAGATCGCTTAATCATCTATATCCCCATCCATAGTATCCCTGATGGTTCCAGTCTCCGCCACGGTGTGAATAAGATTTTCCACCTTTTCCTTGGTCTTTTCCACCCTTCTTTGGCGGGGTCACTGGAGCTTGTTTTGGCGGAGGAGCGGTTTCAACTGTTCTCCATGTCGCTGACGATGATGCTTTCGCTTTCGACACTCTCCCCAGTGCTGGTGCAGCTTTCGGGGCTGCTTTCGATTTGCCAGCGGCTGGATTGGTACGCTCACGATCAGCAGGAGTCGGGGTATCAGCAATCGCAAGTATGTGAGCTTCAGACAAGTGGATGCCCCACCTTGGTCGTTGATCTTCCCGTTGCTTGATGTGATTGTAGTCATCGATCGCATCATATAGCTTTTGGAGTAGAGGTCGCGGCAATTGTCGGCCATTCTGAAGGATCAGGTGTAAAAGTGATATTCTTCGAAGTGGTGGACGAAGAGCACACACAATGTCAACTGGATTCAGTGTGATTGTGTCTTGAAAGTCAACGTTCCTGAAGAAATAAACAGCATTTACCCTATATGCACCTGCAATGATTCTTCTGACCATGACGTCTTGTCGGTCAAGGGCGTCGCGGGCCGCTGTGGTCTTTCTCATCTCATCCATTGTGGTGTCAC